TACTACATAGTTCTAAAGGAATTACTAATTATTTGGATCCGTATTCTAAAGTGAAGATCATGGTAACTAACTAGTAATTACTCAAGTGTTACTACATACTTCTATGGGAATTACTATCTAAAACTTCACCAAAAACCTCAAAAGCTTAAAAGAATTAGTAATTCCTTTAGAAGTATGTAGTAACACTTGAGTAATTACTAGTTAGTTACCATGATCTTCACTTTAGAATACGGATCCAAATAATTAGTAATTCCTTTAGAACTATGTAGTAACACTTCAGTAATTACTAGTTAGTTATACCATGATCTTCACTTTAGAATACGGATCCAAATAATTAGTCATTCCTTTAGAAGTATGTATTAACACTTGAGTCATTACTAGTTAGTTATCATGATTCTTACAGTAGTTCTCTGGGAAGCATTAAAAAAAAGTAGTTATTGATTAGTTAATAGTGAACTACCACTTTCATCTGTGCACTGTTACTTATTAATTTGTTAATCAGAATTTCTTGTTAGTTAATAGTAGTTACTAGATTGTTAATATTGTGTTACTCATTTGTTCCTGTGTAGTTATTCATTAACGAAGGAACCGTATTCTAAAGTGTTACCAGATATACTTTATTGTCCCCGAAGGGAAATTTGTTTTGGACTCTGTCCCTTCCGCAGTTTTTACAAAGACAACACAAAGTACAAAATACAAAAAACAGACGTCTCGCAACACATCCTCTCACAAACATGTTCTCATATACATTAGATAGGTACGTGCATAGTAGGCACATTAACACCTTTCATTGGCAGGTTTAAAAAAAAATTACAACCATTATTGATCACAATACAACCATTATAGATAAAATAAAATGTACACAATGTCATGATTCTGCCCTCGTGTCCTTGATTTTCTCTAGTCTTGAGGCAGGGTCATGACAGAATCATGTTTTGTGTGCAAGCACATGGTCTTGTGTTTTGAGCCATGTGCTTGTGTTGTCTCGTTACGTTACCCCGCCCCCTTGTTATCCTTGTCTCGTCATTATTGTCTAGTCAGTTTCACCTGTCCTTGTCTAGTCAGCTTCACCTGTCTTTGTCATTAGTGTCTCCCTTTTTAATCCCCTTGTGTTTGCTGTCCTGTGTCGGTACATTGTGAAACATTGTGAGTTATTCTCTGTGAGTATTTTGTCTGAAACCTGTTTATTGAGAATTGTGAGTTTGTTTCCTGTCAAGTCAGAGTCTTCGTTTGTCATCGTGTCTTAGTCTACCTCCAGTCCTGTTTTGCCCCATCGTGGGTTTTGTTTTCTGTTTTGTCATCATTAAACCCCTTTTGAGTTATTTGCTGTCTGCGCATGGGTTCGTTCCTCCATCCACATGACACACAAACCTGCATTTTACCGAAGGCATGCACCATTTTGACGGAGCTGCACTGCTCTCTGCTGAAGAGGTCGCAAAAAGCCTGCGATAAATAACTCAATCTCTGGGTTGTTATGTCTGACCCAAGATCTGGGTAACACAAGAAAACTGCCCAAACACTGGTTTGTTACGTCTGACCCAGGAGCCGGGTAACAGAAAAACTACCCCAAAACTGAAAAACATAACCCCAAAAAATGACCCAAAAGGCTCAACCCAGGATTTGGGAAGAAAAAATAACCCAAGATTTTTTTAGAGTGTATCATTCTATCTGTAAAATCTTCAAACTTTACAAATGTTAAACTTTCAAGGCTTTATCAAAGTTGTTGTGACAAACTTCCATTAGCTGTATATTATTTTGCTCAGAAAGCATGTGTTTATAAATGCAGGTCTAAATGTGGAGGTGCTGATTTTGCTGCTGGTTATCTGTTTTATGCTTACTTTTCTTTTTAGTAGATGCTTTGTCTCCCTGGAGTAACTTGAGGAGTGCTTAAGGGCGCAAAATGCGACTGTGGATTTCAGTAATGACTCAAACATAACTATGATGGGACTTTTGTGTTACCAGCCGCCCTGAGCCTCAACCACCACATTATCACTCCATTCCACCTGCACCATTATGCTGCTTTATGTCTGTTGCATGAACATTTCAGTGGATCGAGCCTTTCCTAATCTCTCCCTGTATAATAAAACAATCACCCCGAACATTTAACCTCTATTTTTCCTGCAAAATAATAATAATGATGATTTCGCAGCAGATATTTATTTTTAGTTCCTCTTGACACCAACACATTTGTGTCTGCTTTTTGTCTAACTGCCATCACATTCTATGCAGGAGCATATGATTAATGATTCATACATGCAACACGCTTTAGACCAGGCACATGTTTATATTTTGCCAGACTAATAAGGAATTCAGGGCAGAATAGAGAGTTAATTGCTTTTTTTGAAGTATATGTGATGTAACAGTTACGTTTTATTAGTATTTAATCCACAAATATTTGTTGTTTTAAATGTCTTGATGGTACAAAGAAACACTGATCTTTCAATAACGAAACAATGAAAATTTCCAACAACAATGATGAAAATAATGAAAATGTTGAAATTATATTTTGCTACTGTATGGATTGGCTCAATGATAATAAAAAAAAGTTCCCATTAGACCTATGACAGTGTTGTTAATGTTTTAGAACTAAATGTTAAACATAATTTTAACCACAGACCGCATTTTATGCAAATCCAAAACTATCATTCTAAAAACACATTCGCATTTCCAGAGGATAATCAAGAATTAGGCTGGATCAGAAATCGCACACTTTCCTACAGTAGGCGAAAAACGGTGTGTCACAAAAAAGATGTCTGTCCGAATTCACAGTACTCATAAAAGAGTAGGCAAAAAGTATACCGGCTGACCTACTTCTTCCGGTGAGATTCTGAAGTGTGCCTATGATGGACACTTTACTATCCCATGAGGCCACGGGAGAGGATTTATGAAGTGCCTCAACTAACGCTGGTAGCCTAGTTCATGTGAAAAGGGCAACATGGTGAATGTACAGTAGTATGTTCGGATTACATTCATACTATATACAATCATACTATATTTTAGCAGTTGCAAATTAATTACATCAAATTACTATTTAATATAAGTACCTAATTAAGAGAGTGTGATTTCGGACGCAGCCTTAGCCTTATGTTTGGCCTACATTACTGAAAGCATGTTGTGTCATTGTGCTAAAAACTTTTTATGGGTACTTTGTAAAAAATAAAAAATAGCTTAATTTTTTTCTCATCTCATTTATTAAAATTAAACACTCCCCTTTCTTAGTGTTTTCAGTTAGATCTGTATCATTGGAGAGTGAGACATACAGTGTAACTTGCATCATGTGCGCTTTATAGGCTAGTCAGGCCTAACATCCTTCAGTAGCTTTTCAGAGTTACAGTCAGTAGCATTTGCGGATAGAAATGAATGGATAGGGCCGACTTCTCTAATAAAACAGGTCATTTTTGTAGGAGATCCCAAATATAGATCACTCCAAAATGAATGTGTAATAGAAAAATGTTGAATATTAGCTGACAAGCAGTCACTTTTGTGACAAGCTGTTTCCACAACAGAAGCAGTTCATTCAGCAATGTGAAGTGCATCTCCCCCATTTACTTTCATTCAAACTGGTCAGCATCTTATCTTCCCTGTCAGGTATCCTCATACTTTACCTGTTGTTTTCTTTTAGCTAATGTTAACCCTGCATCTTCCCCTTGGGAGACAATTTACTCTCGCCTAATTTTCTTGGCTGCCTGCAGTTAGATTAGGTTTAGGAATTGTTCATTCTGATTATATTATCTTAATAATATTAGGATTAAATGCATTCATTTAAAGAATTTGAATGGATCTGACCTGAGAATAACAAGAAGAATTTTTAAACACTTGTTTAGTTTGTGTTAATACTAACAATAGCCTTCTAACCGTTTTTGTTTATGAAAAAAAAAAGGTTGACAACAAGCAGCGTTTTCATAATTACCGCAGAAATACTGGAAATCTGATATTTGGTGTCCAGAGAGGACAACGGGGGCCCTCGAGTCAAAAAAGGTTGAGAATTGTAAGCACGGTTTTGAATTACCACCGTGTGTAATAAACTCTGTGTGACTGTGTGTAGTGAGTCGCTTCTTCCCATAGAGGACGCACTTCCGTTTTCTGCAGCCTCTACGTACACAGTGACGTCATCGTCCCCATGACCCGGAAGTTCTGCTGCTATTTCTTGACACGTAGTTAGCGGTGTTGGCGGAGTCTTGGGCGATTAACGTGTGAGTAAAACTGCAAAGTTTACCTCATTACATCAGTATATATATATTAGCTGTGTTACATGTTTGAAGGTGTGTGGGGGACAGTGTTTGAATAGGGCTGACAGTGATTGTATGTGCCGCTGCAGTGCTTTAGTTGAGCTGTGCTAACTGAACCCAAACAAAACAAACATTATTTATGCCAAAATCACATTAAATATATGTGACTGTTCTACAAATGTGAGAAAAACAGAATTAGCGCAGCATGCTTTTAGTAAACATACAGAATTAGCGCTATATGCTTTTGATAAACATACAATCTGATCTATATATGGTTCTCATCTGACAAAATAAAGGCCGTGTTTTTTTTTTTACATGTATCATTGTAATAGCAAGTTATTTTACATATACCATGGTAATACCATGCTTCTTTGGTCATGTACTGTGATTATACCGTTGTTTTACTTTGGCAATATCATTGTACTGTGATTGATACCATAGTTTTTCCCATGTTGGACCATAGTACTTTTTGGTCTTTTTTTGTAAGTGTTATCTTTAAGTACCATGGTATTCTGTCTCTTTACCATAGTACCTTTTTGTGTATGTTGATTCTTTATCCAGATCATCTGTGTTTGATTCATTAATATCATCCATCTCTCCTTGTCAAGTAATATAATTTGCATGCTTTAAACCTTATTTGTTACAACATCATTTATGTGTGTGTTTTAAATAACATCCTGAATGTAGTTATTCAGCTTAAACGAGATCTCCACCCAAATAATCTTCTTGTCTTTGATACTATTAGATACAAATTTGATTTAATAATATTGTCCATTGCTGACTGATTTTTCTGCATCATGGCTTCCAGGCTGTTTGCGATGGCAGGGTTTGACAACTTCAACACAGACTTTTACCAGTCTAGTTACAGTGTAGATGACCAGAACCAAGCAGGATACGGCTACAGCAACACAGAGGACCCGTACAGCAAGTATGCAAGTCCTGATGTTGTTATGATTATAATATAGCCCTGTTTATCAAGTCCGTTTTATTTTTATAGCTCTTTTCTGCAATACACATCGTTTCAGAACTGCTTTACAGAAAATCATGATCTTAAAGTTTATAATTATTATCCTCATGGCTCATGCCTTTTGTCACATTTTACAGATTTGAGCTGTTTGATGATATAGTTTACATTTTGCGAAGGTATAGACAGTCCAGCAGTTGAGATTTGCTGTTTAGTGTATATCTCTACAAGTGAGTATACTAGTTTGTGTGGTTAAAGTTGGATATACTTGTTTATTAAACTTTATATCCTGTAAAGAGCTGTGCGATTATATAGTTTACATTTTACTACGATATAAACAATCACACAGCTGAAATTTGCTATGTAGTTTGCACTGTTTTAAGTCAACTGTATTTATGTGGGTAAAGTTGCATGCACTATATGATTGCATGATATTATTTATATATATATATCATAAACGTCCGACTAGTCGACTAAAGGATTAAATATGCGACTACTATGACTAAAAATGAATAGTGTTTATATATATATACACTCACCGGCCACTTTATTAGGTACCCCATGCTAGTAACGGGTTGGGCCCCCTTTTGCCTTCAGAACTGCCTCAATTCTTCGTGGCATAGATTCAACAAGGTGCTGGAAGCATTCCTCAGGGAGTTTGGTCCATATTGACATGATGGCATCACACAGTTGCCGCAGATTTGTCGGCTGCACATCCATGATGCGAATCTCCCGTTCCACCACATCCCAAAGATGCTCTATTGGGTTGAGATCTGGTGACTGTGGAGGCCATTTTAGTACAGTGAACTCATTGTCATGTTCAAGAAACCAATTTGAAATGATTAGAGCTTTGTGACATGGTGGAAGTAGCCATCAGAGGATGGGTACATGGTGGCCATAAAGGGATGGACATGGTCAGAAACAATGCTCAGGTAGGCCGTGGCATTTAAACGATGGCCAATTGGCACTAAGGGGCCTAAAGTGTGCCAGGAAAACATCCCCCACACCATTACACCACCACCACCAGCCTGCACAGTGGTAACAAGGCATGATGGTTCCATGTTCTCATTCTGTTTACGCCAAATTCTGACTCTAACATCTGAATGTCTCAACAGAAATCGAGACTCATCAGACCAGGCAACATTTTTCAAGTCTTCAACTGTTCAATTTTGGTGAGCTCTTGCAAATTGTAGCCTCTTTTTTCTATTTGTAGTGGAGATGAGTGGTACCCGGTGGAGTCTTCTGCTGTTGTAGCCCATCCGCCTCAAGGTTGTGCGTGTTGTGGCTTCACAAATGCTTTGCTGCATACCTCGGTTGTAACGAGTGGTTATTTCAGTCACTGTTGCCCTTCTATCAGCTCGAACCAGTCTGGCCATTCTCCTCTGACCTCTGGCATTAACAAGGCATTTCCGCCCACAGAACTGCCGCTCACTGGATGTTTTTTCTTTTTCGGACCATTCTCTGTAAACCCTAGAGATGGTTGTGCGTGAAAATCCCAGTAGATTAGCAGTTTCTGAAATACTCAGACCAGCCCTTCTGGCACCAACAATCATGCCACGTTCAAAGTCACTCAAATCAACTTTCTTCCCCATACTGATGCTTGGTTTGAACTGCAGGAGATTGTCTTGACCATGTCTACATGCCTAAATGCACTGAGTTGCCGCCATGTGATTGGCTGCTTAGAAATTAAGTGTTAACGAGCAGTTGGACAGGTGTACCTAATAAAGTGGCCCGTGAGTGTATATACACTATTCATTTGTAAACATAGTAGTCGCTCATTTAATCCTTTAGTTGACTAGTCGGACGTTTATGATGGTATTATTTACTTATATACTTGGGGTTAGGGAGTGGCATTGGATAATGGTTATAATAAGCCATGTCTGAGGTCGATGAATGTTAGGCGAACGTTTGGATTTTCTGTCTGATATAATTACCACATGGACCTGCTGTGGGGTTTTTTCTGCGACTAACCGAATAATTAAAATTTGGTTGACTATTAGGGGCAAGCACTAGCCTCGTGAGACCATCCTGATCTCGCGAGCTTTCAAGGTTTCACTCGCAGATCAGTCTGGATACTTTCCGTTAAAGAAAATTTGGGAGCAGTTCACCAAACGAACGTCCAATCAGCGTTGGCTTTGAGGCGGGTTGAGGTGTGACGCAACGAGAAGCGCGTCACTTCAGTCTAAAGAACATGTCGGCTTCAGCGGATGAAACTAGCATCAGCGTGGCTATCGAGCAAGTTTTATCGGAATTACAGAGTATTTCTTCACTGAAAGAAGAGCAAAACACTGCTCTGGAGGCTTTTCTCAGAGGAAAAGATACGCTCTGTTAGTACGTCATATGCTTCGTTGATCTGATTGGTTGATTTGGCCCGTCTATCACCAACATAGGCCAATCAGCTAACCAGTATTTTCGCCCCTTACCAAAACTACTTCAACGGAAGGTTTCCAGATGGATATGCGGAGCAAATCCATCTGGCGGAGTCAGGTTAGGCAAGCACTACTATATAGCCAACTTTAAATATATATAATTGGTTGATAATACAGTTTACATTTTGCAATCGTATAATCAATCCAGCAGTTGAGATTTGCTGTTATATTGCTTTAAGTGAGCACACTGTATTAATGCGGACAAAGTTGGATATACTTCTATATCCAACTTAATAAGTAGAGTGGTGCGATAACAAAGTTACATTTTGCAACAAAATAGACAATCCCGCAGATGAGGTCTGTCTATTGTTTACAATGGAATGTATCTGTCTGTTGGTTAAGTCGGATTCGACATTAAATATATCACGGGCCGATAATATACAAAGCTTTAGACGGTAATCAGCACATCAAATTTGTATTTTTCAAAAAAGTACAAGGTGTTTCTATTTCATAATTGTAACAAGCATTATTCTTGTCTGTTTATGCACATGCTGAGTGTGAGAATGTGTCTGTCACCTGATTCTGACTTTAAATCTCTGTTTGCGTCCGACAGAGGCCAGTATGGCCAGTATGATTACTCTCAGCCGATGGGCGCCCCGGGGATGATCCCGCCCCAGCAGCCGTACACGGGCCAGATCTTCCAGCCCACGCCAGCGTTTACACCCGCCTCCCCTCAGTCCATGTACGGCAGCAGCTTTGAGGACGAGCCTCCGTTGCTGGAGGGTGAGTGAGACTTTGCCTTGTCGTTGTTCACCTGAAAATGAGATTTTGGTGATAATATTCTGGCCCTCATGTCAAACTATTTGTGGACCGATGTTGAATTTTTTTTTTTCATGGCCGATGCCGATATTTTTGAGAGCAGGGTGGCCGACATATTTATAATTTATATTTATTTTACCCTTATATTTAATAAATCTGAAATAAATGAAACCAGACTTGTACTTTAGATGGCAACTTTTTGATAGTATTTTTCACAAATAAAGAAGTTGTTAAAAATACATGAATAAAAAAAAAAAAGTTAGGGTAAGTAAACACTGCAACTAACAGGGCACGCAGTAATCTGGTAAGTTTGTGCGCACCGGGAATCATATTTTTTCAAATAAAGACTAGTTAACTAATTTGACATGAATATGACAGTGGGCAACTGGATATAGTGTAGCATAATTTGGGTTTAAAGTTTGTCCATAGTGCATCTTCAGTAAAGCTGAACTCTCCTGTCCGCATTCAATTCACATGGACTGACTGGTACACACACGTCTGCGAGGCTTGTGAAATATTTATTAGATTTTCAAAGGTTTATTTAAAATGGGGGTTGGCAGCCAATGGTACATGGAGGGGCTATATATTCGGAGATGTTCAACTAAGTATATTGAGTCCTATTCAACATTCCTCGCACACATCAAAATGACAGTGATGCATGTGGAAACACACCTGGTCACTTCATGTGTTTTCTTTGATCGGATGGCTGTCCAATCGTGAAAAGACCAGATGTAAATGCCTTCCGAAAGAGTATTCCAGATGAAACTGGACACAGTGCATCTGGCTGTTGAAGCCACGTGTGTAAATTTGCTAATTCTTTATTTTAAGGTGATTGTAGTTACTGTTGTCAAAAGTACCAAGTTGGTTCTAACATTTTAAAAATGCGACTCGTTGAGCGGAATCATAAACGTCTCTGATTGGCCACTGTGTTCACGTGCTCATCTGATATGACTGTGATTGGCTGCAATGATCAGCGCTTCAAAGACATGTTGTTAATATACATCAATGATGCTTTTCACAGAGCGCTTCCACAGATTGAAAACAGGACCGGTCCGCTGATAGACGCCTGCTCTCAAACGCTCCTGTGCGCTGTAGGGGTGGGAGAAAAAATCGATCCATCGATGCATCGCGATTCTCTCTCCAACGATTCTGAATCGATTCTGAGCTTAGTTTTTAACCAGATGTGCGATGACGTTGAGTTGACTTTAGAAACACCCGTATTCTGGTTGCTTCCAATTCCTCACACACATACACCACTCGAACCTTCCGTAAAATAATCTTTCATAAAGTTCGGATAGGTTGAAGCGAATTACAAGGACATTCACAGGCTTCATTGCACAGCATACGCTGTGAGAGACGCGCGCTTTCTTTGATGTTACACTTGAAGTGTGCTGTCTCGCCCGTCGGTATTTTCCTTACAAATGCTCTACGAAGTCATCATTTATGTGGTTTGGAATGCAGTGGACTTATATATTTAAAATATGAACCTCACTAACAGAAGGCTGCTTTCAATTTCAAATGCTGACGCGCGCTTTGTTTGTGAGACTGCTCGCGCATGCGCTGTGCGACTCCGTGTAGTGGTTTAATGTACTTGTGCAAAATTAACGTAAACACAGCCAGTTATGTCTTAAGGGATTAAACGGACAGGACACACCGCATTACTTCTTTTATTTCAAAAGAGATGCGTGCGTGAATGCAGCTTAATAGATCTCCCGCAGTCTATGATGCATGGTAAAAAACAACAGTAAAGATGAAGAAAAATCACTCACAGTTCTTGAATGGAAAACGTTCAGATAATCTATAGGCTACTGAAAGCACTTTTTGTTTGTTGTTTGTTATATTTTTCTATGCTCCTCTTTATTATTTGTTATATTAGTTATATTAGTTTAACATTCTTAACATACAACTGTTTTAATAAAAACAAATTAATTTGTAATTATTTTTTAAAAAGTACTTAATTACTTATGTAAACTAATGAATTAATAATTTGGAAGGTAGATAAAGAATCGTTCTGGAATCGGAATCGGATTGGATCGTGAGGTGACCAAAGATTCCCACCCCTAGTGCGCTGATCATCGTAGCCAATCACAGATCCGATGAGCTCGTGAACACAATGGCCAATCAGAGGTGTCATATACGTTAATTTTACTTGCATAAACTTTACTTTCATTTGAAAAAAATAAAGATGATAAACACAGCTTGAATTTCCTTTTCATGCTGCAATGGTTCATCAATACGTGGCAGCAAAGTGAAATGTGGACCTCTTCTTTTCCAAACCCTCCTAAAATTTTTCCATAGCACTTTGGTATACATGTAGAATTGTTTTCAGAACAGAAAGCACTGCTGTGATTCCCAGGGCCGAGTTCATTCTTGTTCACAGAGAAATCAATAATGCATTGTCTCTGCGTCCCCAAAGCCAGAACTCTGAGCTTTACAAAACAAATAAGTGTCACCTGGGGCCGTGTTTAGCACAACCACATCTGTGTCCCTGCATGCTGACGTTAAGTAGACCTTGTGAAAGCCACTTGCCCCAGTTCTTCAGAGAGATGTGGAGAAAGCCACTTCACTGACGTCTGCTGCTCGCTGTTGTGGAAGTGCATTTATCATGCTGTGCAACAATGCCAATCCTGTCTTATTATTCCAATCTTCTGCCTTATAAGTGCTGCTCACTGAGGCAAGCATCACTATTAGCATTACTCGTTCTCATTAGAAAATAAGCGGTGAAGCAGTTTTGTTAAAGTTGCACACAATTTTTTTTACTGCCACATTTAAGTCATGTGATGCATGAGGGGAGCATCAAACTATAAATTATATCATAGAGATATGGGATTAGATTTGTTGCATATGTCCAAATAAATAGCGTTAGGTTACGATCCACAGTTCTCAAAGTAAACAACTGAATAGAAAGAGAAGTTTAAAAAAAAACGAATTCAATTTACAAAGAAATATGTCATAAACACAGCTCTGTCTATCAATCATTTGTCAATTACCGGATGCAATTTGTGGACATTTCGGGTGTCACGATGCCTGTAGTATTGGGGGTCCCAAACTTTTCTCAGTTTGGCATTTTCTCAGGGTCCCTTTGGCATGAAATGTTTACTTGAAGCACCCCCTGAGATTGCAAGTGAATATTTCAATAATTTAACACCACATTGCCCCGTTTGGGAAACCCTGGCCTTGTAGCATGTGGCGAGAACAGTTATTCTTTCCAAAAAAGTGAAAATGTATTTTCCATTTGCAGAGCTGGGGATCAACTTCGACCACATCTGGCAGAAGACTCTGACTGTGCTGCACCCGCTGAAGGCAGCAGATGGCAGTATAATGAACGAAACCGATCTGGCTGGTCCCATGGTGTTCTGTTTGGCTTTTGGGGCGACGCTACTCTTGGTAAGAGACAAATGTTTAATCTTAAATCTTAAGATTAATAGTGGATTTTAAGCAAGAAGATTTTTCTTAAATGAAAGACGTGCCAAGCGCCTAACCACACGTTTTTCTTCTTCCTCATTTTAGACTGGTAAGATCCAGTTTGGTTACGTGTACGGTATCAGTGCCATCGGGTGCCTGGGCATGTACTGCCTGCTCAACCTCATGAGCATGACGGGGGTTTCGTTTGGGTGTGTCGCTAGTGTTCTCGGGTACTGCCTGCTCCCCATGATCATCCTGTCCAGTTTCGGGGTCCTCTTCTCCTTACAGTGAGTCACGCTTTACGACCTTTTCAGTTAGGGTGTTCCCGAACTTTTTACACTTTGAGATTTCAAGTAAAGTCAATATAGAATTATTTAGTTTACTAATTTTGTTTTTTAAGACAAAAGTATATATATATTTTTAAATAAAGCATTTTCTAAATATGTCACAAAATGTAGTATAAATAATGTGTGTGTATGTGTATATATAAACACACATATGCATATATATGCTCATACTGTAAAGACGTGTAACATACACAACCAGTCAAAAGTCTCATATGCTCACAAAGTCTGCATTTATTTGATCAATTGATCAATAAGTAAAATGGTTATATTGTGCAATATTATTACATTTTACAATATAATACAATTATTTTAAAATGTAATTTATTCCTGTGATCAAAGCTGAATTTTCAGCTACTCCAGTCTTCAGTGTCACATGATCCTTCAGAAATCACTCTAATATGATGAGCTGATTTGCTGCTCAGTTATAATTCATGGGTCTTAATATGAGTGTTGAAAATGATTTTTGCTGCTTAATGTTTTTTTTGTGGAAACCGAGATACTTTTTTTTTTTCAGGATTCTTTGTTGAATATAAACTTCAGAAGAACAGTATTTATATGAAATGGAAATCTTTTGTAACATTATAAGTTTCTTTACACTCACTTTTAAACAATTTCTTGTGCCCTTGCTGAATAAAATTATTATTATTATTCAATTTAAAACTCACTCCAAACTTAATAGTGTAGAGTAGTGTATCAAGGTTTCTACAAAAATATTAAGCTGCAAAAACTGTTTTCAATGTGTATAATCAGAAATGTTTCTTGAGCATCAAAGCATATCAGAATGATTTCTGAAGGATCATGTGACACTGAAGATTGGAGTAATGATGCTGAAAATTCAGCTTTGATCACAGGAATAAATTACATTTTAAAAGATATTCAAATAGAGAACAGTTCTTTTAAATTGTAATAATATTACTGTTATTACTGTATTTTTGATCAGCCTTGGTGAGCATAAACGTCTCCTTTCAAAAACATTAGGAAATCTTAATGTTCCAAACATTTGAACAGTAGTATATGTTTTAATATGTAATAAACGATTCAAAATATATATTCATATAAATTATTAATCCCATAATCTATAATAAAATATATTATTGAATATTCTAAAGTTTTTTTTTTAGCTTTGCCATCTAATAATCAGCCAAATGTTAGTCGGTTAGAATAGGCTTGGTCTAATCATATTTTAATTAGTCATTTGGTCGCAGAAAATAAACTGGCAGTCACGCATTACGTGTCTGACAGATGTTAAACACGGCTGGTCCATGTGGTAATTATATTGGGCAGGACATCCAAAGTGTGGGGTCATTTTAAGAGGGTGAAGGGTGACCCCATAAAGGTGACGTGCAAACGTTTGCATATCATTAAACGACCTTAAACATGTAAGTAGCAGCCTAACGCTAGCCGCTATACATGGGCACTCGCTCTAACGTTAACTTTGATAAACGTATGCTACTATTATGCGCATATCCAAAAGCCCCGATATAATCACAGCTAAGTTCATTTTCGTGCTTCGCTCAGGGATAAAATGTAGTTCAAAATACGTTTGCAGCGGTATACTGTTTTTCATTTACATCAATAATCTGCATAGCATCTGATTATAGCGATGTGGATATGTTTGTAATTCACTGCAGTGACGTCACGTTTATTTATGACACTCTGTACAATATTGCTTTATAGCAAGTAGCTTTCCAGAGAGTTTGCTTAATGCTTTGGCAAGCTGTTTTGAACTCCTGGCTGGAACAAACACAAAACAAGCTTTGTTTTGGCCGGATTTTGTTTGAAATGACGACACACCAGTTCGTTATATATAGCTAGCTAGTTTATAATAGACCTTGCTTGTGCTGTCATGATCCCTCGATTAAGGTTGAGTACTCTATTTTTAAAAAATCCAAATTTACACATGTCAAGTAACCGGAAAAATACCGGAAGACCGTTTTCTAAGGCTGCAAAAAACCACAGCATAGTGCTATTGTGAATTCACAAAAGCTTCGATTAAATTAAATATATGGCCTGCATGTTTTATATATATATATATATATATATATATATATACACTCACCGGCCACTTTATTAGGTACACCTGTCCAACTGCTCGTTAACACTTAATTTCTAAGCAGCCAATCACATGGCGGCAACTCAGTGCATTTAGGCATGTAGACATGGTCAAGACAATCTCCTGCAGTTCAAACCGAGCATCAGTATGGGGAAGAAAGTTGATTTGAGTGACTTTGAACGTGGCATGATTGTTGGTGCCAGAAGGGCTGGTCTGAGTATTTCAGAAACTGCTAATCTACTGGGATTTTCACGCACAACCATCTCTAGGGTTTACAGAGAATGGTCCGAAAAAGAAAAAACATCCAGTGAGCGGCAGTTCTGTGGGCGGAAATGCCTTGTTGATGCCAGAGGTCAGAGGAGAATGGCCAGACTGGTTCGAGCTGATAGAAGGGCAACAGTGACTGAAATAACCACTCGTTACAACCGAGGTATGCAGCAAAGCATTTGTGAAGCCACAACACGCACAACCTTGAGGCGGATGGGCTACAACAGCAGAAGACTCCACCGGGTACCACTCATCTCCACTACAAATAGGAAAAAGAGGCTACAATTTGCAAGAGCTCACCAAAATTGAACAGTTGAAGACTGGAAAAATGTTGCCTGGTCTGATGAGTCTCGATTTCTGTTGAGACATTCAGATGTTAGAGTCAGAATTTGGCGTAAACAGAATGAGAACATGGAACCATCATGCCTTGTTACCACTGTGCAGGCTGGTGGTGGTGGTGTAATGGTGTGGGGGATGTTTTCCTGGCACACTTTAGGCCCCTTAGTGCCAATTGGCCATCGTTTAAATGCCACGGCCTACCTGAGCATTGTTTCTGACCATGTCCATCCCTTTATGGCCACCATGTACCCATCCTCTGATGGCTACTTCCACCATGTCACAAAGCTCTAATCATTTCAAATTGGTTTCTTGAACATGACAATGAGTTCACTGTACTAAAATGGCCTCCACAGTCACCAGATCTCAACCCAATAGAGCATCTTTGGGATGTGGTGGAACGGGAGATTCGCATCATGGATGTGCAGCCGACAAATCTGCGGCAACTGTGTGATGCCATCATGTCAATATGGACCAAACTCCCTGAGGAATGCTTCCAGCACCTTGTTGAATCTATGCCACGAAGAATTGAGGCAGTTCTGAAGGCAAAAGGGGGTCCAACCCGTTACTAGCATGGGGTACCTAATAAAGTGGCCGGTGAGTGTGTATATATATATATATATATATATATATATATATATATGCGATTAAATGCGTGTAGTTTTGGTGCGTCTCAGAGCGGCTTCGTTCACAGTAAATGCTTCTCCACATGAACTGTTATCATTTACACACTTGGAACTTGAAGCGTCAAACTCCATCTCTGCATATGCTGTGAATTTGGGTTGCTTATAATGTTGATCTGGGAACGCAATGTGCGTCATTTCAGGACGAAACAGGAGAATACATTACTGTTTCTAAATATGTGAACTGTTCATTGCGATTTAAAAACAACAGTAACCGGAAGTCATTCATTTTCAATGTAAACCGGCGGCGAGCTCCGGCGAGGAGAGTTGAAGTCAGGTCAACTTTATGGTAATGAGCTATGACGCGATTCGGCGGCAACCAATCGGAATGTAGAAGTCCTCCGCTTGAGAGGATTCCAGAGAGCGCAGTCAAGTAAACTTTGGTTCTGACCACATTAGTTCCTAAGCGAAATGGAGGAGAGGTTGATCATGTGAATTTGATAAGATGCGCAACACTATTTATAAGCAAAAGGGGGAATGCAATTTATTTGCTCAAAACAACACCGATTTGACCAATTGCATTAAGGCTACACTTCAACCTGGACAGTTATTGTAACGTAGGCTGCACACAAATTAATGTTAATTAAAGACCAAGGCAAGTAAACGTCTCCTATAAACTCCTATACATGTTGAAATTAGACTAGCACTTAACCATGAACACAAAAGCCACATTACACACATGGCTTTAAATTGGTTTATTTCGTTAGCAAACATGTATCTATAATTGAGTTCTTTCCACCGATCAATGTGTACTTTCACATTTAAAGATTTCATGAGGTTAACTTATACCCTACTTGTGTTCAGTCTGCACAAATACCAATCAACATGCTTGTTTGCTTTGCACGGCCCCTTCAAACAAAGTTTAAAATACTAAGCATTCGATCTACGTCAGAGCGTCCACAAATATGTCTACAGTGTTGTTGGCAGGGCAGCCACAGCGAATTTTGAACACACAAAATTGGTGTGAACGCAGATATGCATCTTATGTATTTTAACAGTGTTGTTCTTTAAAACCATATGATTACTTGCTTTTGATACTTAATTTGAACCAACTATTATTGCCTCATTGTTATTATATGTATTTTAAGTAATTTTTAAGGCTTAGGTCTCCTTTTATTTACACGAAAAAAAATCAGATTAATCGTCAAAAGAATCAACTGATTACTAAAATAATTGTTAGTGACAGCCCTTGCTAACCTGGTGTTTTCCTGTGTCTTTCAGGGGCATGATGGGTATCATTATAACAGCCTCCATCATTGGTTGGTGCAGTTTTTCGGCCTCTAAAATCTTCATCTCTGCTCTGGCCATGGACGGGCAGCAGCTGCTGGTGGCGTATCCCTGTGCCCTGCTGTACGGAGTCTTCGCCCTCATCTCCGTTTTTTGATCTCTCGACCTCTTTTAATGGACAAAATGACCACCAATACGCAACACCTTTTATTTGAGGACTGCTTTTGATAACACACACACATCGCAAACCGCTCACCGAGTGTGTCCAGTGTTTATCATGCTCTAAGAGAATGTGGCATTCATTTCTTCTGCTTTATTCTTACCCGCCCACCTACACTGAGAAATGTTTTTGCTTACGTAATGCAGGTTAAAACTTGGTTCTTTTTTTCTTTTATACATTCACCGCATTCTATTGTTCTTTGCAAAATACTTTAACAAAGCCAGAAAATGAAGTGTGTTTATCGAAGAGAAGAATCAATGCAAAGGGCACACGTCTCCTCCTACACAACACTGCTTTTCACTCCAGAACGTTCTTTGCAAAGTGCACTAGTAATTGAATCTTTCTTGGAATAGTTTTCCTTTACATTCCTGAAATGCTGTCGATTTGTTCGGCCTGTGTTCGTTCACACACTTGGGTCAGTGAGTGCCATTTCACACACATTTTCCATAATGTACTAGGTAAATGAAATGGAACGATAAAAATAATCACTCTTTTGTGCATATTTTTCAAGCCGATTTGAAGGAATAGTTTAGCCAAAAATAAAAATGCTTTCATTTACTCACCCACAATATGGTTCCAAACCTGTATGCCTTTCTTTCATGAGTCATAAGGAGAATTTCTGAGGAAGTTTACTGGTTGTTCCTATGTTCAATTACCCAGTTCACTGGATTTGGATGGGGGGAAAAGCATGTAAAATGATATGTGTGTGTCCCATTGGAGAAAGTCATACTTGTTTGAAATGAGTAATTGATGATGAAATTTCTATTTTTGCGATCTTTCCATCCAAGAGTTTATTTCAGACTGCTGCAGGTTGTTAATTGTCTGATTTGCATTTCACCCACTAACAATCTTCAAATTAGTCTTGGTAAACTCTGGCTGAATTTTGATTTATTTTCTTTCACACATTTATCTTTTGAAATGCGCGAGGGAGAGCCAAGGTTTAGCACCATTTGAAATAGTTCTTAAAGCTTTAAATCAAATTTACAGAACAAACCTTTCTGAATACGTATGGGCCACGACCGTCCTCTCAAATGGATGGGTATATTTATATACAATGTAACTTTGTTTTGTATATCCAGAAGAGTACAAATGTTTATATCAATCCTGTCTTGTGGAAAATCCGTGACCAACTGGTAGGGTGTTACACTTGTGCTGTTTCACAGGCTGTTTTAATTAAATAAAAGTACGTCTTTTGTTTGAACACTTGTTTGAATTGTCTTTATCCGTAATTTTTAAAGCATTGCTTCATGATCTTTAAACTCCTCATTGTCCGTGAAATTTGAAAGCTCCATGACCTTTTCAGTTGTTTGTGACATACTGTATAAGGATTAAGCCACTGCTTTAAAGGGTTAGTTCACCCAGAAATGAAAATTCTGTCATCATCTACTCATGTCGTTCCAAACCCGTACAACACAAATGAAGATTGACTGAGAAATTTCAGTCCCTCTATTGACAGCTAAGCGACTACCACTTTGCTCAAACGTGCTGTGTAACACTAGAATGAACCTCATTGGTTCTTGATGAAGCTCAAACGTGATGCGTAACACTAGAATGAACCTCATTGGTTCTTGCTGAAGCTCAAACGTCCTGCGTAACACTAGAATGAACCTCATTGGTTCTTGCTGAAGCTCAAACGTGATGCGTAACACGAGAATGAACCTCATTGGTTCTTGATGAAGCTCAAACGTGCTGCGTAACACTAGAATGAACCTCATTGGTTCTTGCTGAAGCTCAAACGTGATGCGTAACACGAGAATGAACCTCATTGGTTCTTGATGAAGCTCAAACGTGCTGTGTAACACGAGAATGAACCTCATTGGTTCTTGCTGAAGCTCAAACGTGCTGTGTAACACGAGAATGAACCTCATTGGTTCTTGCTGAAGCTCAAACGTGATGCGTAACACGAGAATGAACCTCATTGGTTCTTGATGAAGCTCAAACGTGCTGCGTAACACTAGAATGAACCTCATTGGTTCATGCTGAAGCTCAAACGTGCTGCGTAACACTAGAATGAACCTCATTGGTTCTTGCTGAAGCTCAAACGTGCTGCGTAACACGAGAATGAACCTCATTGGTTCTTGCTGAAGCTCAAACGTGCTGCGTAACACTAGAATGAACCTCATTGGTTCTTGATGAAGCTCAAACGTGATGCGTAACACTAGAATGAACCTCATTGGTTCTTGCTGAAGCTCAAACGTCCTGCGTAACACTAGAATGAACCTCATTGGTTCTTGCTGAAGCTCAAACGTGATGCGTAACACGAGAATGAACCTCATTGGTTCTTGATGAAGCTCAAACGTGCTGCGTAACACTAGAATGAACCTCATTGGTTCATGCTGAAGCTCAAACGTGCTGCGTAACACTAGAATGAACCTCATTGGTTCTTGCTGAAGCTCAAACGTGATGCGTAACACGAGAATGAACCCCATTGGTTCTTGCTGAAGCTCAAACGTGCTGTGTAACACGAGAATGAACCTCATTGGTTCTTGCTGAAGCTCAAACGTGCTGTGTAACACTAGAATGAACCTCATTGGTTCTTACAGAAGCTCAAACGTGCTGCGTAACACGAGAATGAACCTCATTGGTTCTTACAGAAGCTCAAACGTGCTGTGTAACACTAGAATGAACCTCATTGGTTCTTGCTGAAGCTCAAACGTGATGCGTAACACGAGAATGAACCCCATTGGTTCTTGCTGAAGCTCAAACGTGCTGTGTAACACGAGAATGAACCTCATTGGTTCTTGCTGAAGCTCAAACGTGCTGCGTAACACGAGAATGAACCTCATTGGTTCTTACAGAAGCTCAAACGTGCTGCGTAACACGAGAATGAACCTCATTGGTTCTTACAGAAGCTCAAACGTGCTGTGTAACACTAGAATGAACCTCATTGGTTCTTGCTGAAGCTCAAACGTGCTGTGTAACACGAGAATGAACCTCATTGGTTCTTACAGAAGCTCAAACGTGCTGTGTAACACTAGAATGAACCTCATTGGTTCTTGCTGAAGCTCAAACGTGCTGTGTAACACGAGAATGAACCTCATTGGTTCTTACAGAAGCTCAAACGTGCTGCGTAACACTAGAATGAACCTCATTGGTTCTTACAGAAGCTCAAACGTGCTGTGTAACACTAGAATGAACCTCATTGGTTCTTGCTGAAGCTCAAACGTGCTGTGTAACACGAGAATGAACATCATTGGTTCTTGCAGAAGCTCAAACGTGCTGTGTAACACGAGAATGAACCTCATTGGTTCTTGCTGAAGCTCAAACGTGCTGCGTAACACTAGAATGAACCTCATTGGTTCTTACAGAAGCTCAAACGTGCTGTGTAACACTAGAATGAACCTCATTGGTTCTTGCTGAAGCTCAAACGTGCTGCGTAACACTAGAATGAACATCATTGGTTCTTGCAGAAGCTCAAACGTGCTGTGTAACACTAGAATGAACCTCATTGGTTCTTGCTGAAGCTCAAACGTGCTGCGTAACACTAGAATGAACATCATTGGTTCTTGCTGAAGCTCAAACGTGCTGCGTAACACTAGAATGAACCTCATTGGTTCTTGCAGAAGCTCAAACGTGCTGTGTAACACTAGAATGAACCTCATTGGTTCTTGCTGAAGCTCAAACATGCTGCGTAACACTAGAATGAACATCATTGGTTCTTGCTGAAGCTCAAACGTGCTGTGTAACACTAGAATGAACCTCATTGGTTCTTGCTGAAGCTCAAACGTGCTGCGTAACACTAGAATGAACCTCATTGGTTCTTACAGAAGCTCAAACGTGCTGTGTAACACGAGAATGAACCTCATTGGTTCTTGCTGAAGCTCAAACGTGCTGCGTAACACGAGAATGAACATCATTGGTTCTTGCAGAAGCTCAAACGTGCTGCGTAACACGAGAATGAACCTCATTGGTTCTTGCTGAAGCTCAAACGTGCTGCGTAACACAAGAATGAACCTCATTGGTTCTTGCTGAAGCTCAAACGTGCTGCGTAACACGAGAATGAACCTCATTGGTACTTGCTGAAGCTCAAACGTGCTGCGTAACACGAGAATGAACCTCATTGGTTCTTGCAGAAGCTCAAACGTGATGTGTAACACGTTCATAGTGTAATAGTGTCCTCAATGTAATAAAATCTTGAGCTTGTATTCTTTTTCATAATCATCAATAGTCATTTTTACATTGAGAAATGTATTACATTATTTACTCAGCAAAAACATTGCCATATCGTCATAATTGTAATAGCTTTAAAAATAAATAAAAGTATTTCCTCAGTACATTTTTTAAAATCCTGTGTGTGTGTGTTTGTGTGTGTGTGTGTGTGTTAGGTATATGGACAAAAAAACATACCATTTTTAATGACATAAGGGTGAGTAAGGATGACAGAACTATTCCTTTAATTCAGGTTTAAGTCTAATAATAACATTAAACATCTTTGACGTTACGTCCCACACTATGGTCTGCAATTCACAAACAAGACCGCCTTAAATTATCTTGTCAGATGAACCATTACCTTCATACTTTGTTCTTTGAAGAGAGCAACAATCATCTACTGTCTTATGACATAGGTTCTCGATAGAGAGAGAGAGAGACAGATAAAGTTCACATCTGCTCTCACTGAAGGAAATTCCAGCTGATGTCACAGCCGAATTCCTGCCAATGGCCTGAGCCATTTCCTCTTGTAAAGCCAACTCAGTTCATTTGTAACACAGCAGATGGCAGTGTTGAGTTATTCAACGCGATTCTGTCACCAGCAAAGGTTACATAAGGTAAGCCCAGTTGATTTTTAAAGTTTTGTTCAAGGAAACAATAGTGCTCAAGCTACAAACTTTCAGTTAGCAGCCCAAATCTTTAAACCACCCGCATACATTCACTTCTGTGAATAAACACATTAAGTGATGCAGACAAACCTCACATACCAAGTCCTTAGTCATTCAGCATTGACGCCAACAGACATGATCCATTCTCAAGATATGTGCAAAATGATATCATCATATTTGCAGCATTCATTTTCACGTATTTATCGCAATTGCTATATTCATACAAGACTTACTCATTTGAAGGACAGACTGGTGTGTTAATCCGATGCTTTTTCTATTTCAGCAGGGTTTCCTAAACTGAGCTAAGATTGGTAGATTAATTTTTAACAAAGTATAAATGTCCTGAGGATGAATGTTATTATAATTTGCCTTCATTCAACAGACGTCACATCTTGTTAGACTAAGTTCACACAGCATAGCGCTTTCTTCAGTTTTAGGGGGAAATATGCTGAATGGATTTAAACTTGGTTGATTGTGTAAAACTGAACTAGGGTAGCCTACTATAATCTTAGTATCTGAAATATTAATCAGATTTGCTGCTATTAATATGCAGGGAATTTTAGAACTCGTGAATGACAATATCTGTTGAGTTTTAGCATGTTTTGTGGCTAATTGTGCATTAAATTCAAATGTGTCAGTTATTGTGTTTGTACAAATGTAGGAAAGAAAGAATTTCTCAGGTTCTCCAGTTGGTGGCGTCACTAATTTGTGTTTTCCAGATTTGGGACCCTGAACTTCAATAGCTCAAAGAGACTAGATTTCTGGGATACTCTGGATTTAACAGTCTTCGATTACACTATAGGCTACTTTTTATGACTGATTAGCATGCTATCGTTTAAAGCTTAATGCTGTTTAAAGATACTAATACTAGCTCAATCATTTAAAGAAGAATACATTTGACTACATATAA